TATATATATATATATATATATATATATTATAATATATATATATATATATATATATATATATATATATATATACAGTTTCCGTCTCTCCTCTCTCCCTTTCATCCCTCTCTTTCCTTCGCATCCCTCTTCCTCTCTCCCCTCCTCCTTCCTTCCGTCCCCCTTCTAAGGAAGGTTGCTGGGACTTGCGTGCCAAACTTTTACGACTCTCTTCCCCTCTGACGAGTGTTTGCCTCCTTTCCTTCTTTCTTGTCTTCTTTAATCCTTTTTTCCTTTTCTATCGAGTGTTTTGTCCTTTCCTCTTCTCTTTCTTTATTCTTTTATCTTTTTTTCTTCTTTTCCACATCGAGTGTTTGCCTCCTTTTTTCTTCTTTTTTCTTTCTTTATCTTTCTTCTTCTATCCTCAATCGAGTGTTTTTGCCTCCTTCTTCTTTTCTTTTCTTCTTCTTCTTCTTCATCGAGTTTTGCCCCCTGTCTTCTCTTTCTTTTTCTTCCTTTTCTCCCCATCGAGTGTTTTTGCCTTCTTCTTCACTTTCTTGCCTTCTTTATCTTTTCTTTCTTCTTCTCTTCACCGAGTGTTTTGCCTCTCTTTTTTCTTCTTTCTTTTTCTTCTTCTCTGCTGAGTGTTTTTGCCTCCTTTTCCTTTTTTCTTTTTCTTCTTTTCTTCTCCTCTGCTGAGTGTTTTGCCTCATTTTCCTCTTTTTCTTTTTCTTCTTCTTTTCCTCTGCTGAGTGTTTTGCCTCATTTTCTCTTTTTCTTTTTCTTCTTCTCCTCTGCCGTGTGTTTTGCCTCCTTTTCTTCTTTTTCTTTTCTTCTTCTCCCCTGTTGAGTGTTTTGCCTTCCTTCCTCGCGGAGATTTTTCCGGGTCGAAGTGCGTTTTGCAGACGACGTAAACAGCTGATTGCCCAAGTGGGTGCCATGCGTCGCCTGCAGGTCAGCTGATTTGGCTTTGCGTGATATATATTAATAAATCATATCGGGATTTTTATTGTATTTTTTCACTTTTTTATTTATTTTTATTTTATTATAAATTTTCGATGTGTTAATGTTTTTTTTTTTTTTTTTTTTGCCTCGATTTTCTTAATCTTAGGGGGAAGTATTGGTTCCACGATTAAGAGATTTCCCAAATACACATTCCTAAATGAAGTCGTTCCTGCTTTTGTATCATTACTAATTTCTTATCCATGTTCTGTTTTTTTTTTTTTTTTTTTTTGTCTGCTTTTCTTCTTTCTCACTCCTATTCTTTCATGTTTCACGATATTTCTTCTTCTTCTTCTTCTTCTTCTTCTTCTACGTTGCAAAATAAGCTGGTAACGACTGGTTGGATGTGACGTGCATAATAACAGCGTTGTATTTCAGATAATTATCATTAACAACCTCGTCAGTTATGAAATGGTTATCATCGGAAACCTGTCATGCAGCTTGTCATAGTCACCGCCAGCCGTCAACAGTGCATCTTGCATATGTTTTCTCTGGTTCTTAATAACCGTGGTTTATTCTCATTCTGCTTTATCACATTTCCGTTCTTTTATCACATTTATTTTTATTCTTGTTCTTCCGTTATTCTCGTTCTTGAAAATAATCAGAGAAAAAAATACATCAGTTATCCTAGGCCAACTTGACTCCATCAGACCTTTAGTTCTCTCTATTTCTTAATGACCGCGGTTTCTTCTCATTCTTATTGATCATATTTTCCGTTCTTTTATTTATTTATTTTATTCATTTTACCATTATTCCTGTTCTTCCGTTCTTCTTGTTCTTGAAAATAACCACAAAAGAAATACATCCGTTATCCTAGGCCAGCTTGCCTCCATCAGACCTCTAGTTCTCTCTATTTCTTAATGACCGCTGTTTCTTCTCATTCTACTTGATCATACTTTTTTCCGTTCTTTTATTTATTTATTTTTTTAATTCTTATTCATGTTCCTTCTTCTTGTTCTTGAAAATAAACACAAAAGAAATACATACGTTATCCTTCGCCGACTTGACTCCATCAGACCTTTAGTTCTCTCTATTTCTTAATGATCGAGGTTTCTTCTGTACTTAGTGATATTTTTCTGTTCTTTTAATTTGATTTTTTTATTCTTATTCCTGTTCTTTCTTCTTGTTCTTGAAAATAAACACAAAAGTAATACATACGTTATCCTACGCCGACTTGACTCCATCAGAGCGCAAAAGGATATCGATGCCGCGAGAGAGAGAGTCCTTCAAGGCTTCTTTCTCATCTCGGCGATGCTGGAGAGGGATAGGGAGAAAAAGGAGGGGTGGAGGGAGAGGGAAGGAGGGGAGGGAGAAAGGGATGCTAGGAGAAGGGAGAGGGAAGGAGGGGAGGCAGGAGGGAAAAAAAGGGAGGAGATAGGTTACGCTGGGTAGGGATGCTGGGGAGGGAGGGAGGAGAAAAAAGAAGGGGTGGAAGGGTGGGAAGGAGGGGAGGGAGAAAGGGATGCGGGGATGGGTGGGAGGGAGAAAAAGGAAGGGGAGGGCGGGAGGGGAAAGGTACGCTGAGGAGGCGGAGGGAGGAGAGAAAAAGGGAGGGGAGGAGAAGACGAAAGCGGATGGGAATTCAGGGAAGGAGAAAAAGGAGGGGAGGGGAGAAAGTACGCTGAGAGGGGGAGGGACGGAGAGGGGAGGGAGGAGGGAGAGGGAGATAGATTAGAGTATAGTTAAAGGATTGAAAAGGGAGGCAGTGTGTATTGGCTGAAGAAAAGAGAGAGAGAGAGAGAGATAGAGACTGATAGATATAGGAGAGAGAGAGAGATTGAGATAGGAGATACAGAGAGAAAGAAAGAGAACTAAAGAAACAACGAAAGAGAGAAGGAATATTCCATGAAAGTATTAAAAGAATATTCTGTGACAAAGAATACCTTATGATAGACAAGGGATTGAATACGATAATGGAGTACAGAAACGAGAAAAACAAAACAAACAAACAAACAAACAGGGAAGCAAAAGAGGTAAAGATGAACCTCCTCGAAGATGTTACGACAGACCTGTGACAAGTATTGGAAAGACGTAATTACAGGAGACCGTTTAATCTTCGCTACCACCCCCCCCCCCTCTCTCCCTTCTTTCCCTTTCCTCTGTCCCTTCCCTTCTCTCCATCCCCCTCCCCTCCCTTCCCCTCCCCTCTCTCTTTTCTTTCTCTCCCCTCTCTCTCCTTTGCTTCCTCCCCTCCTCCCTCTCTCTCTCTCCCTTCCTCTTCTTCCTCTACCCCCTCCCCTTCTCTCCATCCCCTCGCCTCGCTTTCCTCCCCTCTCTCTCCTTTCATCTCCCTAATCTACCTCCTCCCTTCCCTCCCCCCCTCTCTCTCTCTCTCCTTCCTCTTCCTACTCTACCCTCCCCCCTTCTCTACCCCCTCCCTCCCCCTCCCCTGCCTCTTTTTTATACGTTTCCTCTCCTACTTCCTTCCTCCTCCTCCCTTTCTCTCACTTCCTTCTTCGTCCTCATTTCATCTCTCCTCATCATCCCTCTTCTCTTCCTCCACGTCATCCGTCCTCCTCCCCTTCCGCCTCCTCCCCCTTCCTACGACCTAACCCTCCTTCCCTTCCTTCTGTTCTCATTCTTCCACTTCTCCACATCATCTTTCCTCCTTCTTACCCTTCTTCTCTCTTCTTCTCCTTCCTCTAAATCTTTAGCTTCTATTTGAACGAGTCTCTCCATCCCTCCTTCCCCCTCCCTCTCCCTCCCCCTTCCTCTCCTTCTCCCCTTTCTCTCCTTCCCCTTTCCTCTCTCCCTCCCTCCCGCTCTAACCCTTTCTCCTCATCCCTCCTTCCCTATCCCTCCCTCTCCCTTCCCTCCCCCGCCCCCTACCGCTCCTCGCCAAGATTCCAAGTTTTTTTTTTTTTTTTTTTTTTTTTTTTTTTTTTTTGCAACGTTGGTTGTTATTGCCAAGCATGCTGTCGTTCGCGAGCGAGCAATTACGGGCAAATCAACTCCCCTGGAATGGCTTTATTGACGACAAACTGTGTCGTTATTGCTATCTGGGCTTTTCTGCCATTTCGATAAATGTGATTCGCGATTTTATGTCCTGTTTTGTGATTGTTGCCGAGATGGTAAGTTCTATTATATATTCCTCTAACTCTTTTTTGTTGTTGAATACATTGTATAAATCTTAATTTGAATCTTGTTAATTCGCTGATGATTCCTTAAGCAAAGAAAGGTCTTGATGCTTTGGAAAGTAACTGTTGAAAAGGCTGTTTGTATTAACAGTTCTTTGGGTTTTCCAGTTTGCCGAAAGAGATACAAAGAATATCCATAAAAGTCTATAAGTTATTTAATCTATATAGCCTGATCAAAATGATAACAATATAAAAACTAACCCAAACAGTAGAAAATTACTTAATAGCATGACATTGACAAAATAGCATTTATGATTATTATTCCTTTTAAATATTTCTCTTTATTTCCATCACTATTTCTCACTCACGAATCACTAATCATTTCCATCACATTTTCTCAATCACGAATCAACATTTATTCCAATCAACAATTAATTATCCACATTCACGAATCATTTCCATTCCATTTCCTCAATCACGAATTGATATTGTATATATACATACACACACATACATTTACATAATATATTATATATATATATATATATATATATATATATATATATATATATATATATATATATAATTATCCATCACCATACCTCATTCACGAATCACTAATCAATTCCACCACAACTCTTCACATTCACAAATCAATAATTATCTCCACCACTATTCCTCATTGACAAATCGCCACTAGCCCCGCCCTCTTTCCCTCCCTCAGAAATACTCCATGGAATGCTACATGCGCCAGTACTGGAGTGACGAACGCCTCAAGTTCAACGGCCCGCTGGACCAACTCACGCTCAACATTAAGATGCTGGAAGCCCTGTGGAAACCGGACACCTACTTCCACAACGGCCTCGGTTCCTACGTGCACATGACCACGAGGCCCAACAAGCTCATACGGATCAATCAAAACGGAGACATCCTTTACTCCATGAG